GTTTTTCATTTTGGGGGTGTCAGTGGGTTAAATCACCTGCCAGCTTCTTATAGTTTTTGATTCCAATGATAAACTCTCCGTACAGTATTTCGTATGATTTACCTCCCATAAGAAATATGACGTATGGCCTCTTGGGAACCCAGCAATAGTAGTGGGATTGGGTCTATATGCTGTCTGCACTCTGGCAGTCCCTGAGTTGAAAGACTTGTAGGCCATAGGAGCATTGAACATGGGGGTCTCTGTAAGAGCCTGTCTAGGACAGAATTATGCAGGCCATAGATGGGTCGAAAATCGGCCGATTTTTCGGCCGAAAATAAAATCGGCCGATTTTCGGATCGTTAGTGGGCTAAAAGTTCGGCCGTTTTTCGGTATTTTGGCAGATTTTCTTTATCGGTAAAGTTGGAAAAAAATCGGCCGATTTTCGCGGCAATGATGGGCAAATCGGCCGATTTTTTTACCGATAAAAAAAATCTGCGCATGAGCAGTGACCTGCAAGAGGAAGACAAAAAGAACAGAGAGAGGAAGAAGAAGAGGAAGAAGAAGAGGATGAAGAAGAAGAGGATGAAGAAGAAGAGGATGAAGAGAAGAAAGAAGAAGAAGAGGATGAAGAAGAAGAGGATGAAAGAAGATGAGAGGATGAAGAGGATGAAGAAGAGGCAGAAGAGGCAGAAGAGGCAGAAGAGGATGAAGAGGCAGAAGAGGATGAAGAGGCAGAAGAGGATGAAGAGAGGCAGAAGAGGAGGGCAGAGGCAGAAGAGGATGAAGGCAGAGGCAGAAGAGGATGAAGAGGCAGAGGCAGAAGAGGATGAAGAGGCAGAAGAGGATGAAGAGGCAGAAGAGGATGAAGAGGCAGAGGCAGAAGAGATGAAGAGGCAGAAGAGGATGAGGCAGAAGAGGATGAAAGAGGCAGAAGAGGATGATGAGAGGCAGAAGAGGATGAAGAGAGGCAGAAGAGGATGAAGAGGCAGAAGAAGAAGAAGAGGAACTCATCGAAGAAGAAGAAGAGGCAGAAGAAGGGCAGAGAGCAAAAGAAGAAGAAGAGGCAGAGGCAAAAGAAGAAGAAGAGGCAGAAGCAAAAGAAGAAGAAGAGGCAGAGGCAAAAGAAGAAGAAGAGGCAGAGGCAAAAGAAGAAGAAGAGGCAGAGGCAAAAGAAGAAGAAGAGGCAGAGGCAAAAGAAGAAGAAGAGGCAGAGGCAAAAGAAGAAGAAGAGGCAGAGGCAAAAGAAGAAGAAGAGGCAGAGGCAAAAGAAGAAGAAGAGGCAGAGGCAAAAGAAGAAGAAGAAGAAGAGGCAGAGGCAGAAGAAGAAGAAGACCACTGATAAGAAGAGGCAGAAGAAGAAGAGGCAGAAGAAGAAGAGGCAGAAGAAGAAGAGGCAGAAGAAGAAGAGGCAGAAGAAGAAGAGGATGAAGGAGAGGAAGATGAAGGAGAGGCAGATGAAGGAGAGGAAGATGAAGGAGAGGATGAAGGAGAGGAAGATGAAGAAGAGGAATTCCAGTCCGGCAAAGTGTGTCCCTGCAGAGAGCTCCGCTATTTCTTCTGACGGTTCCTTGACATTTATAGCAGTTGCAACAATGTATTTATTTGTTTCCGAATAAAAACATCTGTATCCTAAATGGATACAAATAGATACATTGTTGCAAACCGCTATAAATGTCAAGGATCTGTCAGAAGAAATAGCAGAGCTCTCTACAGGGACACTTTTTGCCGGCTGTAGACGGGATGAAAATCAACCGATTTTTTTTTTTTTTTTTTTTTTTTTTTTTTTTTTTTTTTGTGCTTAGCCAGAATGAAACTGGTTAATGCTCAGGAGAGCACCTTTATTTTCGCTTTTGAACTGTGCTAAACTGCCTACTACTACCCCAAAGCTTTCGTGCAACCCAGGTAGAAATCCGGACTTTGCTTTCATTCTATGAACATTGTCTTTTGTGTGCACTAAGTCTGTGACACAGAAAATTGGTACTCACGTCTACAAAAGTATTTGATATTTCTCATGAAACCGTAACTGTCATAAAGTTTGTTAAATATTATCTACTCTGTAGCGTGGTGCGTTAACCAGAGAAGTTCTTAAGTTTAAAAAAAAAAAAAGCCTCTGCATCCAGAGCCACATACAGTATATGTGTGAAAGATAATGTCCAGTCCACCAAAGTCCTTTTACAACAGATAATTATGTTTCAATCTTTTTATTAAGATGGTAAATAGACAATATCATCTTTTTATTAAAATAAGATGGTAAATAGGCAAAATCATGTACCAACTTGAACTGTCTACATAGTCCAAATGTATACAATGGCAACAATAAAACAACACAAAGAAGATTATAAAAGAGGAGGGGTTCAGCCAGGACCCCATAAATAGTCCATATGTAAGGGAGGAACTGTATCAAGGTGATCAGTTATAAAGAGTTCCATGTAACACTATATAAGTATGTTCCAGAAGGAACGTTAACCACAAAGGGACTGATTTAGGTCAACATTGTATGCTCAGCAGGTAGGTCTAACAGGACTACACCCACCCTAATGACTGGGCAAATGAAAACCGTTTTGATATATAGTTAACCATAGCCAATACTGGGACCATAACAGTACCAAGCAGCAGACATGCATGTCTGTCAGGAAGATTCAAGTGGGCAGCACAGTGGCTAAGTGGGCAGGACATCCGCCTAGCAGCACTAAGGTCGTTGGTTCGAATCCCAACCACGGCACTACCTGCCTGGAATTGGCATGTTCTCCTTGTGTCTGCATGGGTTTTCTCCGGGTATTCTGGTTTCCTCCCACACTCCAGGGACCATGTTGGTAGGTGAATTGGCTCCTGTCTAAATTGGTCCTAGTATGTGTATGTATGAATGTAAGTTGGGGACCTTAGATTGTACACTCCTTGATGGTTGGGGACTGATGTGAATGTACATTATACTGTATGTAAAGTGCTGCGTAAATTGACGGCGCTATACAAGTACATAATAATAGTAATAATATTATTATTATTAAGTGTCAACCTCCTGGTCTTTGGAAGTATGTATCACATATAAAATCTAGACTAGTATCTTTAACCCTGTAGTAGGGAGCAAGAGCCGCATAAGCCAATGCCTACTCTGTAGTGCTGGCTCCTGTCCCATGCAGAGTGATACCAACTGTACTCCACCTCCTATTCTGGCTAGCGGTCTCCAGAATGGTGCCATCAGCAGGAAAGCAGAGATCTTCAGGTCAGTGTGAAGCAATCCACTGGGCATAATAGTATAGGACTGCTTCCACAATAATGCACTGCGGTTTTCCCATACTGCAGGTGCAGTGCAGTGTACCTGCAGCTTTCTTGTGGGTTAGCTGCGCTTAGCCACAGACTTCTATTATATCCTGCGGGTTTGGTGCACTTTCTGAAAGCACACCAAAACTCCTGAATGCAGGAGTTTTGCTGTACTTTCAGAAAGTGCACAACACTCGCAGGATATAATTGAAGTCTATGGCAAAGTGCAGCTAACTCAGGAAAGTTGCAGATGTACTGTACCCACGTTTCAGGTAACCCGCAGCACATCAGTGTGAAAGCAGCCTTATGGGGGGCTCAGAACATTAGGGGTTCATTTAAATTTGCAGTTTGGAAGGTAGTAAAACATCCTAGTTAAGACCTCCTTTTTACCACACCCCCTTTAGCTGCAATGACCAGGGGAGTACACATGCCGCAGCAGGAGTTACACACCCTGTCGTGGTTGGTGGGTATAGCACCTGCCAAGCATGAACCATTCAAGTGAATGAGGCCTCCTCGCCACCTGATTTAAACCCATAATTGCTATGCAATGCATGCGATTTGCGAGACTCTAGTACAGCAAGTAAAGGTCTAAATCAGGTGTGAAGAGGCCACAGTGTGCCCAGTGATCTTTGACTTTTCCCATGTTACTCGGGTAGATCTCCACCTCTTTAATGTTGCCTACCCCTGTTCTATTGTTTTGTCTTTGTACTTTTTTTTTTTACTAATTTAGATTAATGGTTTGGACCACTTTTTAACCCCTGCAATTTTGACAGTAATAACAGTAATGCACTTTTATTCAGCTGTGATATTCAGCATTTGATTTACAGTAGGTGGATTAGCTCTGTAGGGTTGATAAAGTCAAGGCAGTAAAGGCTAATTCACACATGTGATTATTACTGCCGTCCCTCTGAAAAGTAATCCATGGTGAATTGATTTTTAGAGGGTATTTTCTAGACAGTGAGGAACTGATATGTTGTTTCCTCACCGCTTGTTTGATCCTTTTCAAATGCCGACCCACTGTTCTTCAACCATTACCTCTGTCCGAGAGGGCAGCACAGGCTCATTTACACATGTGGCTGTTGTTGCCGCCTCACTGAAAAGCAATCCATGGTGGATTGCAGTTTTGAGTGTGTTTGACAGTCTGTGAGGAGGTGATCTTTTGCTTCCTCACTTCCTGTTTTAACGCTCAAAATGCTGACCCACTGTGCTTTAACTGTGTTGCAGTGCAGTGCGGCCTTACCCACTCCAGTGGGTTGCATTCAGCAGCAATACGATCCATTGAATGCACCATGCTGTTTAATTTTTGCCACAAAGCATGGCGGGCTTGTTCTTCTGTATGGCACTGAGGGCCTGCTTTTCTGCATTTAGTTGTGTGGTTGAGGGATGGTAAAACTGTGGCTCAACCACTGCTTTTATTGCCATGTGAATAAGCCCTGAGTGATGTAGAGTGATTCACAGCACAGTAAAAGGGAAAGAATAGTGTGGTAGCTGGCCAAGATGATCTAACGACTTTATGCTTCTTCATCTGCTGACATTAATCTTATGAATAGTGACATCTATCAGTTTGGTAACCTACTGTAAACTAATTTGCTAAAGCAGTGTTTTAGAGATTAGTGGGGTTTTTTGTATTGAAGAATAGTAAGATACTGTCTCGAAAGCTTTAGCCAGAATGGTGGAATTTTACATTTACTTCAGTGGGAATCTTCATACAGAGCTTTTTAATTTTACAATTTTAATATATTTATAATTCTTATCTTTTTCAGAATGCAGGTGGAAACCAACACAAAGTATCGGTCTCTCCTGTGGTCCATGTGCGAGGTCTGTGCGAGTCTGTGGTAGAGGCTGATCTAATGGAGGCTCTTTCAAAGTTTGGAACAATATGGTAAAGTATTTAATTTACACATCAGATTGATTCTGTTCTTACAACTGTTTTAGATAAGCCTAGAGCAGTATTTCTCAACCTTTTTTTGATGATTGGTTGTCAGGACGCCGGCAGCTAGAAGGTCGTACTGGTACACAATGAAAACCTGTGGCTTTGTGTAAATAAAAGGCAGGCTTGTTCCACCCACTGGCTTGTATATAAGTTTTGGGCAATTTTTAGACATTTTGCCAAGGCACCCTGGTTTAGAAAGGCTGGCCTAAAGAACTTAAGTGCCAGGGCCAGATTTGGCCTATTTGATCATGGGGTGCGGGGAAAAAAACGTCAGGGCATACTGTCAACTCAGCTTTGTTTTTCCCTTTGTGGTTTTATGTGTTTGAACAGTATATTTTTTACCAGTCTTTATTTTTCCTGTGTGCGCCACATCCTTGCAGCCTACCTGACTATATATAGTGCTCTCTGCTGTGTATACAGCCTACTATACAGAACGCAAATCAAGAATAATCGTGATCACTAAGACACACATAGCAGCAGCAGAAAGGAGCAGTGTGCCCAACAGATGAAAGCCAGCAGGCCCTGGGGATCCATGGATAAAGGAGGTTGAGGCATACACAGGAGCCTCTGTTATCAGCTGAGGCCCCAGCTCTCTAGAAGAACATGTGTGCCCAAGCTGTGCCCATAGCCTGGGGGGTGATGCGTGTGACTTAAATCCAATAGATTAAATATATTAAAAAAATGTATCTCCTTAAATAGGAAATGTGCATGTGTTGCAAATGTGTAAGTACAGAAAAATGCCTGTTGATTGTCCAGAGTTCTAATGAGCTCCTAACTTCCTGTTTGGGCTGAGCTTACAACACAGTTCCTCTGCTGCACTGAATCCCAACCTTGCCCAGGTCTCTTTTTACTTAACTACAGAACTGCATCTAAATATGGGATCCATTTTCAATAGCCTATTGGGAGAACAGGACAAGGCTGAAAATACTAGTTTGGATTTCAGATAAAATAACTAAACTGGTTTAAAAAAATATTCTATTCAAGTATTTATTCATAAATTGAAGCCCTAAGGTCCTTCCAATTCTCCAAATTCCTTCTTTTTGCGCTGCAAATCTTCCTGTTAGAGGGTGGCTGGGTAACTACATCTGTCCTCCAAGGTCTAGCTGTATGTAGGAACGTAGCCACCTTCTTTCTCACTCCTGAGATGCATGAGGACTATGAGATGATATTTAGCAAAAAAAAAAATACAGTAAGGAACAATACTGTGAAAAATAGGTTGCACGGCTTAAGTAGTGGATGTGTGCGCATTATTTTTGAAAAATAAAGATATCATTTAGTGTCACTTTAAGCAGAGGCTGACCGTACAGTAATTTAAATGCTCACTGAATTTCTTGCAGCATAAACAGGGTACATTTCTCCATGTTTTGGGGAGAGATACTGTGTTTGTGTGTGGTATTTTTGCTGTTGCTTTTTGCTAACGTTCACATTGCTAACATTCACTTTGCAAAGTGACCAGCATCTGATCTGCAGCACATTGCAACACACCCCTAGCACCTCTGTGTTGCACCTTATTCACCAGACTGTGCACAAGCATCTGTTACTCTACCCTATTTTCTCTGTCAGCTCTTCTCATCCCCAATGTTAGTATGTGCTCTGGCACTTCTCCAGCTGTCAACTAGAGATATACTGTATGTGCTGCTTTTTGGCCTTTATACACTGGCCAATTGTATATCTGATAATTACTGGCACCCTATTACAGTGTGCACCTAGAAACACATGCAGCTCACCAGGACTCCAGGGATGGGTCCTGTATGGGAGATCAATCTCTTCCCTCTACGCTGTTTGAGTTATGGTCCCTTTTTGAAGGGGCATCACTGGATTCATAGACCCACAGGTGATGTTTAAATACAAGAAACTTCAACGCACATGATTAGGCTGTAGAAGTTTTTGAGGTTGGAGAACGCCCCTAAAAGCTCTGGAACTGTAACACCCTTCCTGTTATTTTTATGCTACAACTAAGTAGACTTTATTTTATGTTATGAAGCTGAATGAAAGCTACGTTTTTGCTGCTGTTATGAGTTGGAAAATATAGACTCCTTAAGATGGAATAAATATACAGTATATTCATATATTGAAAAACTGGACAGCGCTATAAATCCACAATGTCAGGTGCATATTTTCTACTCATTTGTATTTTTAAAGAGGAATAGAAGGCAACACTGTTATTACTCTCTTATGCATATCTAGATCGTAAAGTGTCAGGTGCATAGGAATTTCCTATGAAACAATATGTGAAAAATCTGAAAAACTATGAAATAAAAGTGCATGTGTGTATAACCCAATCCTGTCAAATCAGTGTATCCATTACCCACTACTAAGGTGATCATTAAATAATTGAATATTCAAAATGACAATTAAGTGTCCTCGTTTAAAATATATTAAAGTGCCAGGTGCATGTGTATTTTCTGTGTTTGAAGATAATGTATCCTAAAGTGCATTCACAGGTAAAACTCGTTTGTGTTCATATAACACACAAGTTAAACATATCCTAAAAAGCCAGGTGCATTAGCATTTTGTGTCTAAAATAGAAAAAAAAAATTATACCCATAAAGTGACAAACCAAAAATGCCAAATTAAAAAAACAATTCTTATCTCAGGATTGGAGTATATTTACAAATATAACACATATAAGAAAGGTAGCTTCTATTCAGGTTCATGGTACATGGTATTCAGGTTCATGGTACAATTGATACCCTACCAATTTAATGGCGGCGTCTGTATGAAGAGACATATTTTGGAACCCTATTTTTATTACTGATTGAACATTTAAAAGGAACCTGAGTTAAATAAAGGGAAACTCTACAGGTTTTATTCCTTTAAGAATTTATAATATGTGAGGTAAACTACCAAAAATGAAAATAACAAATATGTAAAAAATTTTGTACAAAATTAAATAAAAAATTGGTTAGTTCTTTTTGTGAAACCTTTTCTCCATGTCTTTTCCTCTCCACTGAGTATAATTATCCACCTTCTCAATACCCAAGAAGGTTAACAGACTAGGATCTTTGTGTTTTATTTTATTTTAACCACTTGCCCTCCAGAGGATTTACCCCCCCCCCCCCCCCCTTCTGGCCAGGCCATTTGTTTTGTGTTACGGCGCTGCGTTAATTTAACTGACAATTGCACGGTCATGCAATGCTGCACCCAAATGAAATTTACATCCTTTTCTTTTTTCTATCTCCGGAATAGAGCTTTCTTTCGATGGTATTTGTTCGCCTATGCACTTTTTTTTATAGTGCAAAAAAAACAAAACAAAAAAAAAGACCAATTTTGGAAAAAAAAAACAATATTTTTGACTTTTTGCTATTAAACATGTCCAGTAAAAAAAGAAAAAATCAAATTTCAACATAAATTTAGGCCAAAATGTATTCGGCAACATGTCTTTGCTAAAAAAAAAAAAAAATAAATCCCAGTATGTGTAAATTTAATTGGTTTACGTGAAAGTTATGGCGGTGTATATATACTGGGATATTTAAATTTTTTTGTACTAGTAATGGCAGTGATCAGCGACTTATAGCGGGACTAGGGGGAACTGACTTGGTGTCACTGACATCCCCATTGACACCAATACAGTGATCAGTGCTAATAAAAAGCACTGACACTGTACTAATGGCACTGGGTAGGAAGAGGTTAACATGTGGGACGATCACAGCGTTAACTGTGCTGTTTTACTGTAAGATGTGTGTGTATGTATGTGTATATTAAATAATAAGTGTGTGTGTGTGTACATTTTCCACATCCCCTTTCCTGAACTATATCTTCTCACATGTTTATCTGTCTCTGATGCTGCTCTCCCTCGAATTCTCAATTAAGGCTTTCTCCTGACTTCTAAACTTCCCCCTCAATTCCAACCAGTTCCATATATCTTTCAGAGAATTTAAATTTCAGCCAGCTACACCACGTTTTCCTGAATTTTTCAATTTTATCGTCCTCCATGTGACATAGCTCCTCCATCCTATAAATATTTTCAACTTTTATCCATTCGTTAATTCTTGGTGCTTCAGGAACCTGCCAGAACTTGGGAATCAAACCCTTAGGCCGCACTAATTAGATGATAGAGTACCCTATTTTTATATAGATTCGCTGAGGGCTCAAAGTTATAGAATAAACACCTCCAAGGATCTCTCTGTATGGTTATCCTGCATATCTCCTGAATATATTGGATTATTTCCCTCCAGTAATCCTGTATGTTTGGGCAACCCCACCGAATATGTGCCATTGTACCCCTTTCTCCACATCCTCTCCAGCACAGAGGTGAGGAATCTACTTGTCTGTAAGCTACGGTTGGTGTAATATACCATCTAGTTAAACCTTTATAGTGCATCTCCACTGTGCTCATATTTGTCACCTCATGTGTTAATTTGAAAACCTTATTCCATTGCTGTACATTCAATTCCACTCCAAGCCCCTTTTCCCATTTTTCCAAAAACCCTGGAGGATCAGTTCCTTCCATAGCCATTAGGACCTTTTATAAATCCTAGAAGTGACATGTTTTGTGGTTATTTTTTCAGTTAACAGTTTTTCAAATGGATACATATCCTCCGACGTGTGTGTGTGTTTTTGTTTTGTGGTTTTTTTTTGGTATTTGGTACACCTGCCGCCCTGTAGCAGTATAACTGCTATAGGGCGGTGGGAAAGCGGTTAACTACTTGCCCTCCAGAAGATTTACCCCCCCTTCAGGGCCAGGCCATTTTTTTTCGCTGTTCGGCACTGCGCCATTTCAACTGGTAATTTCGCAGTCATGCAATACTGATATAATTTTATATCTCTTTTCACAAAAATAGAGCTTTCTTTTGGTGGTATTTGATCACCTCCTGCGGTTTTTACTTTTTGCACTATAAACAAAAAAAGACCAAAAATGTTTAAGAAAAACAATATTTTTCACTTTTGGTTATAAAAAAATATCCAATAAACTCCGTCATAAATTTAGGCCAAAATGTATTCTGCTA